TTATTATTATTACTCTTGTTATTAGCATCGTTATTATCATCATTATTATTAGTATTATTATTATCATTATTATTAATATTACTATTATTATCATTATTATCATCATTATTATTATTATTGTTATTATTATTATTACTATTACTATTATTATTATTATTATTATTATTATTATTACTATTATTATCATTATTATCATTATTATTATTATTATTATTATTATTATTATTATTATTATTATTATTACTATCATTATTATTATTATCATTATTATCATTATTATTTTTACCATTACTATAATCATCATCATCATCATCATCATCATAGTTATTATCATTATTATTATTATTGCTATTATTATTGTTAGTATCATTATTATTTCAACCATTACTACTATTATCATTATTATCATTATTCCTATTATTATCATTATTAATATTATTGTTATTATTATTATTATTATTATTATTATCTTTATTATTATTATTATTATCATTATTATTATTGTTATCATTATTATTTCAGTATTATTTCATTATTATGATTTTCATTATCAGCATTATCATCGTCAACATCATTACTATTATTTTCATCATTAATTCTATTATTGTCACCTTTATCATTATTGTTATGATTAACATATTTATGATCATTATTGTTATCATTATTATTATCATTATCATTATTATTATTATTATTACTATTATTACTATCACTCTTATTATCATCATTAATGTTGTTGTTGCAGTGGTTCTTTTTTTCTTTTTTCTATATGATTTTATAATTATTATCATCATTATTTCTATCACTATCACTTTTTTAGTTATTGCTACATTTTTTATCTTTATTCCTATTATCAAGAAGATTATTACTTTTTTATCATACCATCATCAGCAGCATTATAATTGTTATTATTATTGTGTTATTATCACCATATTACTATTATTATTGTTATCATTATTATTATCATTATATTATCATCACGTTTTTCATTATTACGATTTTTATTATTATCATTATCATTATTATTATCATTATTATTTTTGTAATAATAGTAATGACCTTTATAACTATTCTTGTTATTATTATCATTATCATTATTATTACCTTTACCATTGTTATTGTTATTATTATCATTTATTATTATTCTCTTTATCACTGTTATTATTGTTATTATCATTATTGTTGTTGTTATTATTATTATCTTTGCCATTGTCATTACTTCTCTTGTCGCTATTTAATTATTCATCTTCATTTTTTTTCCAGTTTGAAAAGTTTCTTTCTCATCTTGGTGTGTGTTGCTTCCGGTCTCTCCTTCACGTCCAAAACGAACCTGAAAATGGACAACGAGCTCACCGATTCACCTGTTCGAAGCTCTGTTTCACCTGTTCGAAACCCTAAGTCAACTATACAGAACTCGGAGTTACCCAAAAGAAATCAAGAACCACCGCTTCGAAGTCCTGAATTTCTCTTTCGAGGTCGCGAAGCAACACTTCGAAGCGTCGAACCGTCTTTTCCGAACTCCGAATCTACACTTCGCAGATCCGAACTCCCTCTTCTAAGCTCCGAAACTCCTTTTCGAAGCACCGAAGCCCTATTTCCAACCCGCGAATCACCTCTCCGAAGCCCCAAATCGCCCAAAAAAGCTCTAGAAGTTAAGGAAATCAACAGACTCGCGGCGCCAAGGATTCAACCCTGGGAAGAGGTGACGAGAAAGCCGTTCCTCGAGGGAGGTGGCTGGGCGTCCCTCAGGAATGGTGAGGATGCCTCATACGCGCAGAGTTTCATGAGCGCCCATTATGCCAGGCCAGGTAAGGGAAATAATTAAAGGTTGATGGATAGAAATATAAATTGATCGATATAAATATCATATATATATATGTAATGCATATTTATAGGTATATATACACAAATACACACTCTGTGTGTATATGGATAGATAAGTGGATAAAGAGTCATAGATATACAAATATAGATAGACAATAGATAGGTCTATAAATACAATTAGAGATTGACAGAATCAGAGAGATCTATTCACAGCCCCTCCCCCCACCCCCCAGGTCCAGCAGTCTCCCCCCTCCGTCCCATCATCCTCCCCGCCCCATACTCTACGGACGCCGCCCACCGACCTCGCCGCCCCGCCCACGACCCGCCCATCATCTACTACATCCAGCTCCCGCCCACCGTCGAGAGCCTTCACGGGGTGGACTTGTCTCCTCTGGTCATGCAGCCCTTCGGCAAGAGCGGGATCCCCATTCCAGGTGCGTCGGCGGGGCAGGATACCAACTCGTTTCTGATGCTTTTTTTTAAGGCATGGGTCGATAGATCTTATGATGATTATATTTTGTTGGCTGCTGAGATTCAGTATATGTACACGCACAAACAGAACACACACACACAAACAAATACACACACACACACACACGCACGCACGCACGCACACGTACACGTACGCAGACGTACACACGCGACAGTGCACACTAACAACTCCCCTACTAACCCTGTCTCCCCCACCCCACCCCCAGGCCCTTACGGCGAGGCCCTGAGCGACGCCCTCAACTACCTGACGAAGAAGCTGATAATGACTTTCGAGGTGGTCCTTGGAGGGATGCTCTTCTTCCTCGGGGCTTCTGCGGGCGCCGTGTTGGCCAAGGTGCTCCTCGAGGACGTGGTCGAGAGGGAGGTGCTGTCTCAGGCCTTCGGAGGCTATGGCGTCATGGAGCTCGTCATGAAGTCCGTCGATATGTATGAGCAGTTCACGTGAGGGCTGGGGGGGGGGGGATGGGGAGTGGAATAAGTGGAGTGGGGGGTGAGGGGTGGAGTGGGGGGGGGGGTGAGGGGTGGAGTGAGGGCTAGGGGTGGAGAGGGGGCGTGGGGGTGAGGGGTGGAGTAGAGGGATGGGGAGTGGAATAAGTGGGGTTGGGGGTAGAGGGGTGAAGTGGGGGGTGTGGGGGATGGGATAGGGAGTATAATAAGTGGGGGTGGGGGGAGGTTGGAGTGGGTTAGTGTGGGGGTTGGTAGAGAAAGGGGGGAGGGGGAGAAGAGGGTGCATGGCGAGATCAAAAAGTTGGGGAGGGAGGCTGGAAGGGGAGGTAAAAGGAAGAGGGGGAGATAGGAGGGATGTTGGTGAGAGGCGAGGGGGTGGAGGGGGGAATATGATGGGGGAAATGTGGATGTGGAAGGGTGGTGGAAGATAGGAAGTGGATGGAAGTGGTGCTCGCTCCGTCTGGTCGCTGGACGGGGTTTCTTGTAATTATTGAGAGAGAGAGAGAGAGCGAGAGAGAGAGAGAGAGAGAGAGAATAAGCCACGATGCTCCAATAACAATGAATGTGTAAGTAAACTTCAGGCAAAATAATATATTGAAAAGTTAATTCGTTTTTATTTTCCTCAATAACACCCTGAAAGTCTACGTCTGTGTGTGTAATATGAGTTCGTGTACACACACACACACACACATACCCTCAGAGATGTATACATTCATTTTAATAAAGAAGATTAAGGAGGCAGATCAAACCGTGGGTCTACGGAAGGGTTATCGTGTGCAAAAGAAATATTTAGTAATATATGCATTTTCAGTTATTGTGTTACTGTTTCATCTAACAATCATTGCTGCAACTGCACTTTATCGCCCAGCCCCCTCCCCCTCCCGTGCGTTGCCACCATATGATGAGGGTTAAGTGACCCTTTCTATCCCTTCCTGCAACAATATGCCAACCCTTCAATCTACTCCCTTTCCCCAACCCCCAACGCATACTTCACAATACGCCATTCGTTGAGCGTCGCTACTCTCCTCACATTACTACGTGTACTGAGCGATCACACCGCTCTTAACAGTACGCCATATATTGAGCAACTGCAGCACTCTTCACAGTACAATGCAACGGTCTTCTCAGTACGTCTATTGAACGACCACAACACTCTCCATAGTACGCTATCTGTTGAGCGATCGCAATACTTTTCTTCAGCTGCTTTGTCAACTGAAACTCACATTTTTTGACGTCGCGCTTGTGTTTTGTACACCGTACATTAGTTTTATTTCAGTACAATACACATGAACCAGTGCGCCATCTGTTGAGCGATCGCAACACTTTTCTTCAGCTGCTTTGTCAACTGAAACTCACATTTTTTGACGTCGCTCTTGTGTTTTGTGCAGCGTACATTACTTTTATTTCAGTACAGTACACATGTACCATTTTTACAAGAGTACATATCAGTGTTTTTTTACACTGGTTAGCAGGATAAAATGGCATATCTTCGGTCCGGATATCCTGTGACATTAATCAATAAAACAAGGGATATTCTGTTTCTTAATATTTAATAACATTTACATACACCTGAGATTCTGCGTGTGATGATAGACATACTAATATTATAATAAATTAACAAAAATGTCAAAAGTCATCTTTCGTGGAGGACACCAGGATTACCACAATAACCGCAAATTAAACGAAAGCGACGCCAGAGCCATAACTTCGACATTAGAGTTAGTAATCAAGACAAGTAAAAGACTTATCAAATTTAACTAAAGTGCAGGCGTTGTTATGATCAATAAATAAGTTACAGACATTTTAGTCCGAAGTCTAGGCTCCATCGTTGCATTCGTAGGGTTTGCGGTGATGGCGGTAACAATGGAGGACGCAGTGAGGTTCCTTTCTCTCTCTTTCCCCGTTCGCCTGAGAGAGAGAGAGAGAGAGAGAGAGAGAGAGAGAGAGAGAGAGAGAGAGAGAGAGAGAGAGAGAGAGAGAGAGAGAGAGAGAGATAAAAAACGAAAAAAAGAACAGAAACAAGCACAAAAAGACAATGACAGAAAAGAAAGAAAAATATATAAGAGAGAACGACAGACGGTAAAAAAAAAAAAAAAAACAGCAAGAACACCGGTCTAGTCCTCCCCTCCCTTCTTTCCCCCCCTCCCCCTCCCTCCTCCTCCTCCTCTCCCCGTCCCCACACAACCTCACCTTCCACGCCCCCTTCAAAATTTCCTTCTCTCTTTCTTCTCTACCTCTTACCCCCCGAAGCAAGTCTTGGCCACATTCGGCGCCAGACAGAGGGCCGAGGCGGTGACAGTCGTAGAGGCCAGAACCGAAGTGCTGGTCACGGTGAGAGTCGAGAAATACGTGGTCCAGATTGTCAGGATCTTGCCTTCCCTTTCCCCGTCTGCAGAACGTTCATGGCGAACCTCGATGTTCTCCTCCAGCTGAGTGCTGTCCAGCGGGGTGTCGTTCATTTGCTCGAGGTCCCTGGAGGTTGAGGTGGGGAGGAGGAAAAGGGGGTAGAGAGGGTCAGAGTCGCGTCAGGTGTTTGTTATTTTATTCATTTTACCTATTTATTTATCTATTTATTTATTTGTTTATTTATTTATTTATTTATCTATCTATCTATCTACCTACCTATCTATCTATTTATCTATTTAATCATTTATTTGTTTACTTATTCATTATTTTTGGTAAAGTTGAAACGAGAGAGAGGCAGGCAGACAGACAGACAGACAGACAGATGGGCACATAATGACAGACAAACAAACATACAAGGGCACAGGACAGAGAGAGACGGATGGACTGAGACAGAGTCAATAAATAAAGGGAATATGGGAAAGGGTGAATAAAGAGTGTGGATAACGGCGACTAAAGAAAAGATAAGAATAAGTAAAAAATAAGTAGATGATTATAAAAATGAAGTAGGAAAGTATGTTAACCACAAGCATAAGAGAAAATAATTGTTATTGTTTATAATATTATTGAGATCATTACCATAGTTATTACTGTTATTATTATTATCATAATGAAAATCATATTCATTAAAATAGCCATTATCATAATAATAATCAGTATCATTACTCTTATCTTCATAGTTATCATAATCATTATTATAATCGGTATCTTTATCATTGTCATTATCATTATTTTCATTATTGTTATAAATACTGTTATTAATAATAGTGGTACTCTTACTAACACTATCATTACTGAAATTATTATTATTGTCATTGCTGTTATTATTATTATTATTATTATTATTGTTATTATTATTATCATTATCATCATTATTAATTTATTACTGCCATTCTTATCATCATCATTAACATTATTACTAGCACTATCATTTTGATGATTATTCCATCATCATTAAGTGTATTATCTTATTTCTTTTACATCATTATCATCATTATTGTCACCACCACTACCTCCACCATCATACCACGCGCTACACCATACTGACAATAATAATAACTAATAATATACAACAATGATAGAATAATGGTGTTACTATGAATGGTGGATAACACAAAACAAACAATAAATGATAATAATCAGGAAAAAAAACTCACGAAACAAATAATAAATGATAATAATCAGGTAAAAAACTCGCAAAACAAACAATAAATGATAATGATCAGGGAAAACTCACTCGATATAATTGAGCGCTAGTCTCTTCTTCCTCCTTCCGTTGCAGTTTCCGGTCTTGGTGGAGAGGCAGGTCGAAATGTCGGTGATGGTGACGGTAGTGACGGCGGTGGAGGAGGTGGTGGAGTAGTAGGCGACCAGGCGCTTTTCTCTCAGGTCGGCCTCGTCGGCTCGGCAGCCGGCGGCCAGGCACAGCGTCAGGAGGAGGGCTGCGACTTTCAT